TCAGAGGAGGAAACCACTTGGGCGGTATTGCAGGAGGCGCACCCCGTCGGAGCATTTGTTGTTAGGGTAATTTCATTTAATTGCAGGAAAATGACTCAAAAATTTGGCAGTTTGCCTTTTATTTTCTTCATCTAAATTAAAACACTTGCATCCTTATCGAATTATGTGGGCCCAGAATAGGTGATGAGCTGTGGCAGTCACAAATTTGCCACCGTCTTTGTGCCAATGGAGGGGTCCCCGAGCCGCAAATAGATCAAGCGGGTGTGAATGCAAGGTGATGCTGCGAACCACAGAAAGGAAATAAAACAGACATAAGCAACTGCTGGTCCTGACGCCTCGTCGGTCGAGATGCGTGCACCTATTTCCTGGTCGCCGCATCAGCGTCACAAACAAAGACTGTGTTGGCACCATCAACTCAGGAGGCAAAAGTACGAGTTTATAGAAAAAAAGTGTTCTAAAATAGCCCTTCCAACAGCAATTCTTGTGCATTTTTCCCCTCTGTTGGGAACTTGATGCGCCACCACCTTGGGAGGTGGTGGCTCATCGACACTGTTCCAGGGAGGGTGTGGTCCATCGGTAGACCGCAATGAAATCCAACACCTACCGCAACATTTGACAAACAAAGGAGAATTTTGGTCGACATTTCGATGACTATCTTCTCACATCAATCCCTCTTTACGTCCACCATTGTCAAAAGACTAACTCACCTTCCAGTCACTGTTTTTCCTACCACGTTTACAGCAGCAACTTCTTCTTTCGTGCTTTCCCATAAGGTGTTGTACCACTTTAAGGGCGAGGAGAGACCACCTTGAAATCCCCTCAAGGCGTTATCAGTGGCCATGGGACATTCGCTAGAGCAGCAGGTAATTTTCTTTCTCCCAAATAAAATGTGTAAGATTTAGCGGATCTTATAACTTACTAAGCACTGGAGGCAAATTTTCTCAAGGAAGAACGAAAGTTGGAGCTAGCTATGGGCGGTGTACTAATTAACAACTGGCAGTCTCAGTAGCGAACTAATGCTTGTCAGAACTAATTGAGGTGACACTTTGTGGAGATACGAGAAGGAAGTTGGATGCTGACTTTGGTTTGATGAACGACGGATCAGTTATAAGTTAATGAGGGGCCTGCGCACGATTTTAGGGGTGTTTTGGTACTGAAAAAGCAGCCTCCTTCAATAGTCAACCTTCAAGCAATAAAATTAAAAGGTAGAAGTGTTCCCTTGCCTTACCAGATGGTGGAAAGAAACGCATTTGCTATCGATTAGGAGGAATTGCCTGGACGCAAACAAGGCGGCTGTGCTTGGTGCCTCAAGATTGAAGCACCTGAGGCGGCAGAAAGCAAACCGACCAAATAATACAAGTCGCCTTGACCTCAAGTGATTTGACCGACTTAGAGGACCATTTGAAGATTATCCACAGGGCGATGCGCTGATTAGTGCTGAGCGGATGGACCTCGCACCAGTTTTGGAATAATGGACCACTTGCCACCCTTCCGTTGCTCACTTCCTGAGGCACATACACGCACTTTCGAGATCTGTCTGCGGGAGTGGATACAACTTGCACAGGTGAAGGGAAAACTCCCTCTTGGAAACAGTTAGGATTCGGGGTCGGTGAACCGGTAGAAAGGAGGCAATCCAAATTATAACCGTATATCTCATACCGACGCTGTAGTTATTCACGAGATTTGCCCTTGACTGACTAGCACCGCAGTGTCAAATATTAAAACTGCCACTAAAAAAGCCTCACCTAAATACTTCGTATTTCGTCTGGATAGTGAATAAATAATCCAAAATAGCCCAACCAAGCCGTGGGCTTGAAAACACCCGGCATGCTTCAGTCAGCTTGTGTAATGGCTCATAAACAGATGGAGGACACAATTACCAGGGCTCTCCATGAAACGCAATTCAGCAGAACCCAGTACCACCGGTTATTCGCTAAAGGGTGGGTTCGTAGCACCTATGCTGTTGAAACCTCACGATAGACTCAATCTGGTGTACTACACCAACCATCTACAATGACAATTCAATAAGACAAATGCAATCATGTCAAAACTATCATTAATGATTATTCAATAATGATGAGGGAGTTGGGTTGTGTAGCGTTCCCGGATTTTCCATGAAATCGTAAAAAGCCGAAGAAATATGGGAAAACATATATTGTAAAGGTACAGAAGAGGTTGTAGGTTACCGAAATGGCTTAAAGGTCAGGCTGGGGAGCGAAAGTACAAAATTTGGAGATTCAATCATCCATGTGATTCAAAAAAACAGTTAAACAAAATACAAAATTACAACAGTCCTTTATTAACGGTACCGTTCACAGTTCAATTACTAAACTGGTATGACTTACCCGCTTGTCCAAAAGTAACAATTAACAGAGGGCATGACTTTCGAACCCGATAAAGCGATTAAGCAGCAACAATGGCATAGGGGAAAAATCGGCGGAGACAAAAAGAAAACATTGATGCCCTGTAAGGGCTAATAGAAAAATATGTTGCTATTTCGGGATTTAAGCACTAATATGATAGGAATCAGAGAACTGAAATGTTAATCGACACGGGAAAAGGAGAATTAATGAGAGAAGGACGCTGGAGACTAGAAGTAGGTCAAGGGGTCCCCAACAGAGGCGACCTTGTGGCTATGTACCTCCACTTTGCCTCCATAGCAAGGTAAAGCCTCATGAACTCGAACATGCCAACAATTGCCATCATGTTCAACCTGCGAAATCAATTACTCTAAACATACTTTGAGGCACCTTGAGGAAGTGATTGGTTCCGTTGACAATCTGACGGCTGACTTCAGTGATCTTAACCTCTGATGGCTCTTGACCGAGCTGCTGAGCGATGTAATCTTTTATAACTGGCGTGAGAAGCTGTTTATCCTCATCAGACGGTCGTACAGAAGTCGTCAAACCACCGCACATCGGCATCGTCAAACGAAAACAGAAACACCAATCGGAAAAATCCGCCCCGACTATGACCGACTCTAACAATCTAGATCAAAATGCAAGTTTGTAGGAATGAAATGACGCACCTAATTTTAATTACAAATATCGTTTTAACTAGTATATTTCTAAGTTGCAGACAAAAACGTTATATTTACATCAATTCAGAAGTGCAATTTACGAGTCGATTTGCTTTAATGGTCTGTACTAAATTTCATTACCATGAATAGGGTTTGTAAACTTGACATTGTGTTTAAAAAACCATTTTTAGCCACTGGACTGTAGCTTACAGTTCCCCGGATCCTTCCCTAACTAAAATTTATGAAATTGGCAATGCCCCTTATTTTTTGTGATTTTAATCACTTTTCTGTTGACCCAATGCTATTTACCTATCCTCGCTGTTTGCCAAATTTTTAGTGCCATTGCACTCTTAAGCTCCACGTCGAAGAGAAGCATTGGGCCAAGTGTGAATTATTAATAGCACTAAGTGAAAGGGTAATGTGTACGTTTTTGCTGGCTTACTTTTTAAAAATCCCTCCTTTCCTCAGCTTCCAACTATTCTTTGAAAGGTAAACAGTTCCCATGCAACTGCTGGTAGATTGCTTTGCTTTTAGGTTCCGCCAAACACCCCTTCATAATTTCACCTGTCTCTAGCATTACATAGGCTTATTCAGCGCAAACGTTCCTCCTTTTCACTGCCTTACATTACACATTTGTTAAAATTTTAAATGAAAGCTGGACACATACTCCCAAAAGGAAGCTTTAGAAGTTCTGAGATCCAAGGGGGAGAAAGGACGACCGTACATAGTTTGCCCAAATGGAGGAGCAAATTTCTGCTGTTTCACATGCCGCCTTTCTGCAGCACCAAAACTGCATTTTGCCCTAGGGCATGCGTCAATCTGTCGGTACGGTGGTTCTTATTTTATCTTCCGCCACTTATGCTAAACGTTGCTTGCTTAACTCTCAGTTTTGCTAAAATACCACTTTGTGCCTTGTTCATTGCACCTCTGCCGAGTGATCTGGCCTCTGGGCCATGCTAGCAGTCCAAACCCCTTCCGTATGCTGAATACATATGTATGCATACATAATCTGCAAGAGTATTATATCCCACTTTGTCTTTAGGGAAGTCTGAGGAAGCCACTTTTGCTCCCTCTGTCCATTAAATGTCAGTTCATTCTACCAGGAGTTGTTAAAAGAAGGCGTTTTGATCTCTGCCCGATTTACTACCTCGTGTTCACCTCAGCCGCAAAACGGTCGAAGTATGCTCTAACAGTTGTTGTTTAAATTTCGCCGACGGTCGGTAAGCATTGTTTGGCCGGTAGCAGCAACGTGTTTAACAAATTGACTTGGATGATAAACTACCTAATGGTGGGCATTTTGTTTAGCAGATCATTCCTCTTCCGCACAATGAAGAATGACTTTTTAGCGAACCTTGAAGTAATTCAAAAGTAGCGGTTCGAGAGATTCCGTCTATATCCAAAGTCAACACAGACAAGGGAAAGGGACATCTTGAAAGCTGTCACACACATCACCAAAGGATTACATCCAATTTGTCTGCAAGAGCTACCATCTTACCAGCATTCTTCGCTCCTCCCACGAACCTCAAATGGTCCACTTGCTACCCTTTCCACTCTTAAGTCTCACAGGTTCACCTGCTTTGTGGAAATGTTCACTCGCCGAAGGTCACTTAATTACTCTTGAGTTCTACCCACATGGGGGTGAACAACGCAGACCTATAAAGGACAAACTTGCTCTTGGAAACAGTCAGGTAGAGTAGTTAGTGAACCCGTTTGTAGGATCCCATCGTATCTCATAGCAACGCTATACTTGACCTCAAGAAAATCCACTCTTAAGGCTAGGAGGGAGAAAAGGAGGGACAGCGAGAGAAGGGAGGGGAGTGCCATATTATTATTACTGCTTTTCAGTCACTTCCACGCTAGAATACGCAAGTCTCTGCACCTCTTCTCTAGCCTACTACGTAGCAAGTAGTGAGTAGCATGCTCGTCCACCTCCGCTTTTGGTTGAAATGACTTGGAAGGAGACACAGAACGTTACAAGTGTGCAATAAAGTTAACTTCGAGCCGGTATTTTAGTACTATATGCAGACACACCACATTTAGCACCTTTGCTCTCACCTCTGACCCATTTTTTGCCATCTCCTGCATCTTTCATGAGATTGGCAGATTGCGCGATACTAGCGTCAAGACAATGCGATGGAGACCCTTCCCTCCCTCCCATTCCACGGTGTACGGCCTTTCAAGCAGAAGCTGGATGTCTTGGTTGCATCTACTAAACTCAAATGTCGTCGATGGTAGTGGAGCATCTAGCCGCTGTATGTTCAGTATGCACACCTTCTTCATGCATTTAAAATGCGTGAGGGTGGGTGGCCTTCAAGGCTCATGCAATTACCTGATTGAAGGATAGTTGCACGGAAATGACATGACACCTCTTGTTAATTGGATATGGGCGTGGGAGGCATTTCGAATTCCAACTACTAAGAGGCAAATTTAGCAAGGAGGACTTTCCGATGGCACTACAAAGAAGTGGAGGCTCTGCAACCACCAGGAGTGCAGAGATGTCGCATTTTCGAACACCTCCCATCAACTGGTTATTGGCGTCGACTTCAGACTTTGCTAATGGCCTTCCTTGTCTTGTGTGCATCAGGAACGCTATTTTAAATTGTTTCCAGTCTTACCTGTGATGAGAGGCCACTTTTGTTCGCTAAGCGAACAAACGTGGAAGTGCCTGCCCACACTCTCCACCCTGCATTTTCAAGCCACCCACCACTTCCCTTTTGACAAGACTACCTGCTTCTTGTGTGCCACGTTGCAGGCTAAATTCTTTAAGCAACGCTTGTTTATTTGTTAGAAGTCAAACCGTCATTTTGTGTGCAATCCACGTGCTCGATGCAACACCATGTAATTCAAATGAGTACAAGCAAAAAATTTGTCTTGACAAGTACCCTGAACAGTCGGAATAAGTGATTTTAGTGGAGGTCCTAGTCTTAAAAAGACAATCCAACACTTGACCACCTACACCCCCAAATCCTACCCATGTGCGCATGTGAGGAAAAGGCCAGGAGGAAGGTAGGTGCTGTCTTATGTTTATCATTGTTTCTCCGAAAATACTCCTTCACGTGACGATTGTCATCAGTTCTTGGCACTAGCACAGGGCAGCAACGTGATCACATGCCAGATAGAAAGACAGTTAGAAAGTATATTTAGGGGCAGGGACGGTTGTGATTAGTCCCAGGCTTAGGTGTCTGGCTACAGAGATGTCGCCTTTAGCAAAAAAAATTGTTTTAGTTAGTTAGCTACTTCTTTTTAAAGGGTATGTGTATGCGTTGCAGTTTCAAATATTTCCATGAGCTAAGTAATTTAAAATCCTTTTGAATTTACTTCCTTTCAATATGTCATACGTCGCCGAAAATTGGCCCTGATTCTGCTGGATATCATAGACTCAAATATCATTTTTGCAAAGCACGTCAGCTTTGCATGTTAATGCTCTTTTCCCATCCGATTTTTCCATTAATAACGTATTTGAATGGGCTCCATATTTAACTATTTCCCTTAACAGTTGTTCGTTGCCTACTAATAATAATTAAGTAGAAGCCACTAGTTGCGCAGCTACCTATTTACCAAGTGAGCGATTCGCACAATTGGTTTAATTCAAGCCAATTAAAACTCAGAATGGGACATTTTTGCATATAGGGATGCGATTAAAAAGACAAACTACCTTACACTGTGGGATTGTGTTAATGGGCTCCCAGTCCTGACTAATTGCCGCCTTAGGAGAGGCAGGAGTGTTGCATTTCCATTGTCACATGTGGTAAAAGAGATAATCAAAGCGTATTCCGTCAACTTTAGTGGAAAATACCTCAAAGTAAGTATGCATTAAAATTGTATTCATAGCCATGTTGAAAAGTATTTTGAAGCTCATGATTCCCCTTGAGTAGGTTACAAAGGGGAGTGATTTCGTAGAATCCACTCCACCTCTTTTCTGACAAGCATAGCCTATTCGAAAGGCTGAAATCTGGTCGATGAATGGATGGATGGATACAGGATAGATGGATGGATAGCTCAGTTTGGAAGTGCCCGGGCCTTATTACTTTTCACTCTTTTGTAAAAATAAGCCTAGTTCTATCACTGATCAGGTTTGCGTGGTTATTTAGCCTTCTTGTAAGCAACTCTTTAGTTTGTTTTGAGCCGTATTATGTAGACAGATTCTATCTGTGATTGTATAGCTTCCAGAAGGTGAATAACCCCTTCCGAGATAGTGCTTCTGGAGTGCATTACCCACAAAGCATAAAGTCATACGATGGTGAAATGGTGCGGGGTGTTTGAGAATGACAAATGGCTTGATTATTTACCCTTTAGGTGTAGTACCAGGCCCCATTTACTCATCAGTCTGTCAGTAAATCCGTCAGCCAATCAGCTAGCATTCAGAGATGAGAAATGAGGCGAGCTAATCAGTAGTCATAGCACCTTACCACCACCTACTATTTTAAGTGAATGATAGCTATTTTCTTGGAAGACTTCACGACTAGTCCCACTTTCTTGGGTGTTAATACAACACGTCGGCCTCGTGCACCAGACGCTCTTGACGTGTCAGGCAGCCAAAGGAGGGAATTTACCCAAAGCACCTCCTGGTCACCTGTTCGGGCTCTTTTACGCAGCGTGTTTTGTTAAAGCATCTCCTTTTTCTTTAATTATTATGCCGGTTGTAATCTAGCATTTTCGAGTTCATGGAACAGACAAGCTTCCATCACATCAGGCGTGGATTAGGAGTTTGTTGGGGAGCCCAAAACCATCCAAAAGTAGTAGACAGCATTGACTGCTCTACGTGCTCTTTACCTATACTTGGAAGGGTATAAATATTAGCAAGCAACCATTCCCAGAAAGCTGGAGATGAAAGAAGGAGGAACAAATGTAGAATCGCTGGAGAGTGGTATCCTGTTAACGATAGCCGCGCTGGTAATGCCAGCGCCACCGCTCGCTCCACAGACATGTTGTCATTAACGAAACATAAAAGGAAACCAATGGGAAGGATTACACTTTTATGGGTGGAAATAGCGTATGGACTAACATTTCCTCCTTGTCACCTTGAAATACTCACTTCTGATTGGTTCAAGCTCGGCTCACTTATCTGCTTGATAAAAAGGGAAATTAGGAAAAAAATTGACGACTTTTTCCCATTGCTACTAAATTTAGCTATATTAACTGTCGTATTAAAAAAAAGTTGCTTTAATGTTTACGAAGGTTCACTTTTTTGGGGCCTATTTTTAGCCTCTTTGAGAGGTGGTTATACAATCACAGCTAACGGTCTAAGGTGGAGGGGAAAGCAAATTGGTAGTCGTGAGACCTTGCTAGCACCTACTACTTCACGAGGCTGATCTCCATTTTGGTGTAAATTTCACATCTTTTCCTATTTTTGTGGCTGTCAGCAAAGTGTCGAATCCTCTTCCATTCAACACTCTTGACAAGTTAAACATTCCATGAGGGAATCTTCCTGATGCACTTCTGAGTCGTTAATTCAGCCCCAATTGCCCTGCGCCTTCCGCCAACGCCTCTCCTTCTTCTCCTTCAAACATTATCTCATTTGTACGAGAACCTTCCAGAGTTCATGAAACAGACAAGCGTCCCTCGCCTCAGTCTTGGGGAAGAGGGAAGTTGGGGGAGGGGGGTAAAGGTGTCAGAAAGAAGTAGGTAGCATCGATGGCTTGACGTGTTCTCTACTTTAGAAAAAGCATCTATACCAATGCGTATCCACTCCTGTCAAGTTTGAAGTTGACAGAAGAAGAAGTTCGAAATGGCAATGTGTTGGAAGACGGTAGCCTGTTGACCATTGACGGTGGTACTATCTCTAGCTCCGCGGACGTGCATGCCACCACCTATAAGCACGAAGGTGTACAAATACGAGAAGATTAGAGATTTGCTATCAAAAATGAAACAAAATAAGCAGAAGTAGGAAGGACTGCACAGACTACCACTGTCTCGTTATTCACCTAAAATACTCGCCTCTGATTGGTTGAAATTCGATTCACCGAAGTACACCCCTCCCTCCCAAAAAGAATTACTATAACAGTTTTTTGCCTCCTCTCAATCTAATCAAACTCTATCAACTTTTTTGCAAAAAATGCCTTAATACACCTACCTAGTGGTTACAACGGTCAACCTGTTTTGAGGCCTAATTTTAGCCTCTTTACAAGGTAGTTACGCCATCACAGAGGAGCAATAAAATCACTTTTTTTCTCCTCATTTTTATTACAACTACATTTCTTACTATTTGTTGCTAAAAATGCAGATATCGACGGGCAGTTATAAGCTTCCGTGAAAAACTGCACCACATAACCTCACATTAATCGGGATAATGCTGTTGTTTCATAATTTTAGGCTTCAGTTGCGTTCTCTTCGGCTTTTGAAAAGTAAATTTTGATGAGGGTGGAAAAAAAACGAATGGCATAAATCACCTTACAACGCCCGTCACAGTTTCAAATTTCACATGCATTTGCATTTGAAAATGTATGGCGTGTGTGGCGAGTTGGTGACATGACAGCGGGTATGCGTGGGTGGCGTCACTGGTGCGTCTGCTAGAGCTACCTACCTAGCCACCTAGGCAATGTGATTATCACGTCATACGGACCAGATACCGCCAGAGCATTCGGCAAAGACACGGCTTTGTGTACGAGGTAGGATAGATTTGTCTAGAAGGCAGGCTTCGTGACGGTTTAGCGTGGGAGGAGAAGGCGGAGGTGAGACAGGACAGTCAGTCAGTCACGAAATGTTCACCACCATAAATTTAACTCGCTAAGTATGGAAAATTACACTGATAGACTGCGGAATGAATTCATAAACAGTTATACCTAATTCTTAGTTAATTTTCACGGTTGCCAAAATGGTAACTCAGACAGGGAAATGTGTGCCGCTGTCAGCAATCCGTGGGCATTTAATAGAAGTGTGACGGTGGTGTTCTGAGCCTCAGAAGATGTCCATATTTCAAGCTTTTGTGGCGCTCCTTCGTTTTTGCCCCCCAGTCTCCACACCCTTGGAAAACCTCACACACCGCACTCTCGTTCCCCCTCGTCATGATTAGCCAGTATCTCGTGGGGACACATTAACGTCTTCCTTACCGTCAAAAGCCCTTGAGGAGACATAAATATGCAACAAGCATAACCCTTTGTGCACTCTACGAATAGTGGCCCCAAGCGAGGCAGTAAAAACCTCCATTTTGGAAGCCTCTAACTTCCAGAATCGCAACAATTTGGGAGTGGGCAGTAACCCCTCATGCCTGTATGTGTCTCCAGCTGTCTGTTGGACCATTTAAATTACCGTTTGTGATTAATCCATTTATTCAGTCATGCAGTCATCCATCCATGGAACTGCCTATCCATTCATTTCCCTGGGTCATTTGCAAGGTACTTACTAAGGGCAAAGCTGCAGCATGTAAGGTCAACATGAATGGAGTGGAGGTCACCAAAACTACAAGCATTTATTTACCTTTTAAGGTCCCTACTCAACCTTCAGTTTGCAAACCCATTCACCAATCTGTCAATTCATCCATCCCTTCACGCAATCAGTCGATCATCTCAGCACTTTGACTGTCGGTCCAAGTCTTTCATCACATTCTCCATCCATTCATCCAACTCACTTTTCATCAATTTAATTCCTTTTCCAAAACACAAGTGAAGAACTTGACTTTAATTTATGTATTCAGTCTGTTCTTGCTTGGTTGCTTGATTTCAACTTCCCCATGCACCCACTAATTACAACAGTAGGAATTATTTGACTAATTCAGCGACTTCAGTAGTATAAACCAACCGTGAAACAAGTTAAGCTCTTGCCTACTTATAAGCAACTCCCTCTAATTGACACATTGCGACACCACTCCAAGTGATATCTCTCCTACACCCACTAAGCGACAAGAGTAGGAATAATTTCGAGAGGTGATGCCATTAACCAAGAAGCAATTCAGCAACTTCAGTAGTGTGAACTGACCACAAAGAAAACTGCACCACGCTACCTATAATTAGCCACACTCGACTGTGGTACCTCGGTGAGGTACAATTTCCAAGCACAAAAACATACACGCCTTCACCGGAGAGAGTCCACCCAACTTTATCAAGGGCAAAAATGCCAACTTTTCACTCGCTGAAGTACAGCCAGACATAATCAGAAATGACTACTCTTTTTTGCTCCTAAATTAGGAAGGCGAAAATAAATTCTCCCCTACCTGCTACACTTCAGCACCGTATACACCCATGCAAAAGGTAAAAGTAGTTAAAAGCAGATCTTCTTCACACCAAAAAAAGCTACTTCACCAAAGCATATGAGAGTCCAATCAAGTCATGCATTATGAAAAAAAAGGCAATCTTTTTTTCAAAATACACAAGGAATAAATACGTGAAGGGCGGGACGAGGCAGGATGGGGGTGGGGGAGGAAGGAGACCAGAAGAAGTAAATAAATAGATCATTTGTCCAGGGTAAATCTTTCACGGATCCTCTCTTTGTCCGCCTCCGACAGGTCCACCGTGGTCATCAGATCCGCCATCTCCGCAAGTCCTTGCTCGTAGGCTGTGGAGTTTCGTCTTGAGGCTAAAATAGGCAGAAGTGAGAAGAAGGTGAGACTGGAATCGCATAATTTTACAGTAAAGTAGAGCGTCAGTTTGCTGTGGGGGAGGGATAGAGGCTTTGATGTACTTCACCTGTCACAAAGAACTTTAACCAGGCTGTCTACAATCAGGTGAGAACACGGTGACAACCACGCGATGCTCTGTCTGTCGTTGTCATCAGATTATGCAATTGGAGCATATATTGGTCTTCTCTTGCCATTTTTTTCTTAAAAAAGGAACTGGTGGAGAGGAATGAGCTCTAACTGACTACACTTTTTGACGCAGCGTTGCTGTGACCTTTTCCCCACCTCGTGTACAACATGGTTCAATTTAAAAACGCACATCTGAGAGGGATTAAGTCCAAGGGAAGGAGAGGACACACTTTTCAGGCATAGATGCCATGTGAAGCTATCTCTTCCAACAAACCAATCCACGGGTTGATGAATACATTCACTGTCAGGTGTCAGGGGAATCACTGCCTGCTCCAACGTTTTCTTATTCCAGTCGATTCAGCTGCCACGGATGTGACTACCCCTAAATTAAAGATATAAGATGTCTACCTGTTTTATCGAATCAACCCTAATCGATTTGTTTGTTACATGCATCAAAAGGTGATACAAATCACCCGTCACGTATATGTGACGTCGGTAGTAAACTTAAGTGTAATGGCCTATTTCCCTCCCAGACATGTCAGCAAAATATTAACTAGACTAGCATATCCACCTCATATTGACGGTTTTTCATTCATAGTGAAGGAAGCGTAAAAAGGGCTATATCCTTCTACCAATAAAAGAAGACACATGTTTCTACCACTTCGGCTTCCAACGATCACCACAGACGAAGAATTGCACTTCAGTGATCACACGCATGGAGTCGCATAAAAGTGTGCGTGTGCATGTGTGAGTGTGAATAGGGACTTCAAATAAATTATGTAGTTTTAGCGTGTCAGTGACATGACAGGCATGAGTGGGTGGTGCCATCGCTGCCTCCACGAAAGCTAGCTAGCTGGCCAGCTTGACCAGGGCTTTGTATGAATCAGATATCCTCAGACGACTTCTGCATAGGAGGCATGAAGGGCAAGTGTTCAAGATAGAATTAGGTCTAGTGACATTTAAACGGAGGAGAAAAGAAGAGAGCTGTGTCAACCATCCATACATCCATCAATCTGCCTACATCTCCAATTTAAATTGCCCCTCTGTCTGAAAATTTGCATTCCTACCTACTATCACCCTTCCACTCAAGATACAAGAACATGGAACCTCTTGCTACGCTTGAGAACATGCATATCGACAATGCAACTCACAGCTCGATTTCGGCCCTTCTGACAAAGTCGACTCCTGCGTCCCCGAGAAGCGGTCATGGAGTAGTGGTGTGTGTCTCGACGTGTTGGAGGAGAAAGTCCAATACGCAATCGCATCATCAGAATTGGGGAGGTCCGGATTCATACTACCGTTGTTATTCATATAGATTCCAGCAGGAGTCTCCGTCGGTGACACCAAGGGGGTTGGGGATCCAGCGACCTCGTCAAAGACGAATCCAATTCTGACCGGTCCCTCGGACGACGGCATCGTTTGTGATGAGGTGGTAGGCCAACCGGAACTCATCGGTACAACCGCAGGTCCCGTTGCAAAGTCCTCACCAAAATCCCAGCCTACTTTAGCCATTGCCTTTTTGTGGCGATTCGGTACTAGAAAGCTAGACGGAGACAGACGATAGGAGCCATTAAACTTCTTTAATTTCATTGATTCGTGCAGCAAGTTGACAAGACAAAGATCTCATATGGCTTTTAAATTTTTTTCGGCTGCATCAACAGCTATACAAATACGCCACTTTGACATTGTGACAGTTACTCAAGTAGCGTGCTCACGTCTGAAGTGCAGTCTGTCTGAAAAACGACGACTTATTCTACTACAAAAGGCGACGTTTTTGGTGTTGGGACGAGGTGCTAGTTCAGCTCTACCAAATCCGTGACTCACGTTTGAGTCTGAACTTTTAAAAATTCCTTAAAACTCATTAAATATTCACCTTTCTTAAGAACCACGTTTCGAAGCCGAAAACTCTGAGAAATGGTGAAATCCAAAGGAATCTTGATAATGTGCACAAACAACGCTTTAAGTGGGGCGAAGCAGTGTGACTAGCTACTACACGCATACAAAGTACAGCGGTTAGTACCCTTGATCCCAGGTGAGCTGTGAAAGCCCTGACCCGAGACCAAGATGAAGGCAATCAAAGTGGCAAGGAAACAGCAAGCACCTCCATCCAACCATCTCAAAGTACACTCGATGAGTTGGCAGCAGCAAACGTAAAGTATCTCAGTGACTTCTATTGACATAAATTAAATAAACCGTCAAACGTTGTAATTTTTACCATAGTTTTGCCATTTTTTGAACAATTTCGGAAAAAAAACGCCATTCCCTGACGACCTATTGGGTCAGGAGGTCAAAGCAATAAAGGTAAATAGGCATAGCTAACATGAACGCGAAGTTATATGAAATGAAAAACCGACAGCCGTAAATAAGGAAACATAAAGGACCTTCTGTTTTTAACCGATTAGAGAATAGTGAAGATAAAACTTGAATGCAAAATCCCCCCAGAAGATACATCGACAAAGTGGACTAATTAGCTAGGTTGAGCAAGTCAAGGGCTTAAATATCTTATTTCAACTCCAAACATTCTGAGGGGACTTGAAGAAAGGAATCATGGCATTCCAAAGTAACAGGGGAGGCAAATGCACCGGATATTATCACATCTACCTCCTCCTCTACTTATCGGTTAAACAGTCCATGCATTCATTCAACAACCAATTCTTCAATCCACTCGCTTGCACATTTATCTACGTTTGTCTCATCTATATTTATACCTTCTTATGACGCAGATGTGCCCGCCCACTAAAAAAATGACGATACTATTGAGTTATATGGCTGACTTCAGAACTGGATACTGTCAACCACACAGAGGCGCAACTAAAAAAGTGGGTGATAGAACTACCATCTCAAAGTTTTTTGAATTAAGCGCCTAAATTGATACACAGGCAAGCATCAAGTGGGAGTCACTTAAAAGGCCCAAAAAGACATGCACAAGGATAATGATACCATTTGCATTCCTAGTAAAGATGACCATCAATCAATGTCGGCATTTTATGTAAGCAAATGCATCTACCGCAAAATAGCTTGAGCTCCTCGTGACCACGATCAGATGGTACTGTCAAACAAATTTTTGCGGGACATTCCCTTTATAATTGCCCTCAGTCATGGTGAAAACGTTTCGTTAAATGACATTAGATAAAAAACAGTATGATTGTCTGACACCAATCAGAAGACGGCAAATTCTGATCAATCAATTGCAATCAAACTTCGCTAAATTAAACGGGCAGAAAATTAGTGTCAAAATATGTGCATAGCAGGCTTGCGTAAAAGAGATGATTTTCAACCGCGATAAATTGCAAAATGAGATGCAGACTAATTAAAGTACACTCGCGGCACAGGATTTCTAGAGAAGCTCACAATTTAACGATCCAACGACAACTTTTGGTACTAGCTAGACAGCACAATGCTAGTGACAGGCAAAAGCGTAATGATGCTCAATCTGGCAAAAAGTTACGAACAACAGGGATGGATGCGATTTTCCACTGCCATTCACACAGTCAAGGTTAAAATTGAACCAGAAATGGCTAAATGAGAATGTGCTTCTGTAGATTTACAAAGGTCACACAACCAAATTCAACGATATTGCACATATACGGAGAAGGAAAGGAGAAAACGAGTCAAATTTTGCAGGAGTGCCACATTTTAGCCTCTATCTCAATTTTAAATAACGTCAAACAAAGTTCCAAAGGATTAAGCTATAAAGTTGATCGAAAGACTATGGAGTCGGACATGTTGCAGTGAAAAATAAATGAGTACAAACCACAAGCCCAATAATTAGAATTTATGGCAAAAATTTAAACAAATTCAAAAGTTAACTTCACATGTGGATTGATCAATCCGACTCCCTCGGTCACGGTGCTATGAACAAATAAGGTGAAGTTGTCACAAATTCTACCATAGAAAGTGCAATTATGCCCAGCCAAGTGAGCCTTGTAAATGCTATAATACTACAAATGTAGCACAAAAACAAAGATATTCACTGTCCCAATATTATTGTTAGGAATCTCCATACTTAATGGATAGCAACACCAAACACAATTCGAAAGATGACTTTGGGATTGAAGTTGAACCGTACTAAAAACGAGATATGTAAGTGTGCAAAAAATTATTGACATTAGGGTCACGTCTCATTAATCGCAAAGAAAGCCATATATTCAACCGTCATTTTAATAATACCAGCATAATCAACATTAGATAATTCGGGACATATGAAGTACAATTTTGTGTGTAATCTGAGTGATGCCACTCAAATCAAACTTTAAAAACTCACACATTAAAAAAACCTAAACAAATTAGAGAGACAGTTTTATTTGAAGTAGCCTAGCCGTAAAACCCAAGACCACCGACCAACGCACTCACCAAGAGCAGAAATTAGAATGGACCGCACGTCCTTGGGTTCGTGAACTACAACTATATAAGTTGCCTTAAGCAAACAATTTTAAAATACGTTTTATCTGCCCAACAAATCTTCTAAATCACTGAAAACTTTAATCCAATAATAAGAAACTTGCTAATGCAGCGTAAAATTACGCTTAGCGGAAGGGTTTGGAATATTTGCTGCAAGTAAGAACGGCAGATGTAAATGCAAGTTTACTAATCACTTTATTCAATTTGTGCCATATAACATCCAAAAAATAAACAGGTAGGCTTTTGAGAGGATACTTGATGGATTATCCCCCAAAGATAATCATGCCTATGCCAAAAATGGAGTAGACTGTATTGTTAGTAATGTTTAAAGTACATATCACCAAAGTAAAACAACAAGTTCAAGTATAAACTTTTGTTCTTTTATTTTGGATGTGCGCCCGAGGCGCAAGTCACTGGTACGCTGAAGTGGGGGGAAAAACACCACTTACGGACTTTGAAGAATAATGAAACATCTTGGCCTTAGAGCTTTTCTGTTGCTAATAAGAGATGAGATACGGCGACGAAAAAAAACGCAGAGAATCCACAAGAATCCACAAGGACCACACGCTATGTCGGAGGAATAGCGCCTGTGATACGCTAGTGTGGCGTCCCGATACTTCCCTGAAGACGTAAGAAGACAAAACACTGGGGCAGAATATACGTTCAGCACAAAGAAGCTGTTCGGGCTACTGGCATGGCCGGGACGCCAGCTCACTTAGCGAGGTACGAGAGGGCAAATTCTAAAGTTCAAAAGTGGCGCCTTACAAATACCGAGGGATAAACCACCATCGTACTACACTAACTCCTCCAGTGGATTGGTAGAATTTGGAAGAAGGGACCGTCATTAATTGACTAATAAAACAGTTGCTGGTCGAACGCAGCCTTAACCTGCAAAAGCCGTGTGCGTTACACCACAAATCTAGATGAGTTTTGGTTTTTCCTTTGTGCTTGCTTCCAAACGGCGCCTATTCACCCCTGCAACTCTCAGACAAATTGGAAGAATCTTCCTGCAGTTTTATCTTTGTCTACGGTGCGGCCTAGTAAGTAGTAACAATAGGAGCTTCTCCCCTTTTACGAAAACATTCAGATTTTTTTGCTGCCTAACCGCTGGGATAAAGATAAGAGTGCCTTTCACCTGCCCCACATGATTCATTTGATGCACTACCGGCTATTGTATGGAGTGGTTCCTTGCATTAGATTTAATGTAGGGATATTGACAAATGTAGGTGAGTGTCAGAAATAGAGTAAAGACAGAACTTATGTGTTCTGGATGAAGTGTTTCAGAATCTGCAATGCACTGGCCACTTCTCAGCGCCTTATGCGAACTGTTCTGAGTTATTTACCCCCAAAACGCCACACTGAATGCTTAATCGACGTACCTATTTTGGGTGGAGATGTTTGGGTGCATAATGCTAATCTGAAGTTACTGTTTGATAGCCTGTAAGAAGCAGGTTCTAGCACTTGCTGAATTCAAAGGAATGTCAGCTTTTGCGTGGCTCAGTCCTCTACTTGAGACACACTACTGTTCAGTCGGATGGGTGAGATGACTGGTACAGAAGACTCCACTAAGTAAATCGGGATCCGGCCATTACTAATCGACTAAACTGATTAAACGAAACTTCGCAGTTCCCCAGGCTCAGTATGCTAATGTAGATGTTTTGATGTAGGTTTCGGTGGAATCACACTTCCCCCGCACGGACTGGCTGTGGGGGAAGCTAGAACAAGTATCAGGTGAGAAAAGGAACATGGTCGAGCATTCCATGAGCTGAAGTGGGTGCTCCGCTCCGCACCAAGGCTAGTAGTACCTAAGTCAGATGCAGGTATATTGGCACTCATCGCGGGTATCTATTATGCTGACATCGCATAAGAGGCGTTCAGAGGTGAGGAGGTCGTTATCTTTCACGCAAGAAAAAAATTCATTGACCAGATATCTTTGAAAGGTTCTATCCCACGCAAACTGTTTTGCGACTTCCACAATGTCCAGACACTTCAGACTACCTGATGGAGAGGAAGTTCGGGGTCTGTCATTGATGAAGGTGTACCAGCGTTTGGGTAGAGAGATGGGGACTATGTGCTAGGCGGGGAATGGGGATCTGAAGAGACAAAGTGACTAGAGGCTGGGTGTAATAAGTGTTTGTTTGAATACATTTTATAGGAGGCAAGCAGGCAGATTGGATGAACCGCGTGGCTGAGTGAGCTTGATCGATCCCCGAGGAGGAGACCTATTTGGGTCTCCTATAACACCGCCTATTTGTAAATCCTCCTTACTACTCTAACGCCAAATGTCTTCCTCCAATCGGCCTTTTCTCTCTATGAGTCTAAAGCAGGAGGTCAAAGAATGAGGTAGTGAAAGTATCGTTGATTATCTCCGGTGTTGGGTCACTACGGATGGTGAACGAAAACTGAGTGGAGGTAGGTGATTCTCCCCTCGAGAGGTAGTTTTCCTCGTTGATAAGTGAGAAACCCGAACGTCAGCAACATCATAATTATATATAATTTACTTTGAGCTGTTTGACGATAGAGCTGTGGCGGTCTGGATCTTCGTGGAAGGGGGGAGGCAACATGCTACTTACAAACGCACAGTAGAGTTGAGGGTCTACTAACACGGCCCCGAGGGCAGAGCGGTAGCACAACCCGCACCGACATATTTTATTGCGTATATTTACTCTAACATATTGTATTATAAGAATACACTGCTTTATTATTTATGTGGCACTGATTTACGGCATGTGGTGTATTTGCCATTCTTTTTTTCTCTTCGAGAAATTTACCACTCTATGGGCAATTCATTGACAATGACATGTTGACGGATGCCCTTTCTTTAGCATAGACACGAATGCCCCCACTTGTAATACCTTGATTCGTTTCAATTTCGAAAGAGCACTAAGTACCCTGGATAGAATCCAGGTAGATATGACTGGGCGGCACAGACATGAAGCCTCGTTGCCACGAAACTGCTTTACCTCCGACCTTTATCAAACGCATTTTCACTTTTGAGCCAGCGTTCTCCCGACTAGCGATGGACAGGCGTGATGGTCAGCACATTCCTTGTCCTCGGATCCAGATCCAGTAGAATTACTGAGAGGAATCGGTGATGGTGCGGCAGTGTATCTTTAAATTGTATAAAAATTTTATCACTGGCATGGTTTGCTGGTGGATGTTTTTCCCTAAGCCACCGACTACGTTGTGATGCCGCTCATAAGAGGAAAGTGAGGCCATGTAATACATTGGTTACTTGTATTAGGTCCGCTTTCATCTCCGGGCAAGTCGAAGCGTGCTACAACTAATTTCACAACAAGACCAGTAAGCTGGAGCAAAAGGTAAACTAACAAGTTTGTAGGCTGCAATTAAAGCAGAGTAATTGCATGAAAATCCGGCAATTCTTGCACAGTCAACAAGTTGTGAAATGGTAAAATCACCACTGATCTGTTGATTGTTTTCGGTGGGAAAAGAGGTAGAATTACAACACAAAAGGAGCAAAACACCTTGCAAAATGTAGAATGACTGAAAAATACCCTCACCGTGGTGTGGTGAAGAACCACGGAGAATGACTCGTTACTCAACCATACCTCCAATTAACCAGTGGAAGACGCCCTTAATGGATCCGTGAAGGTTTCATGACA